ACAAGGTAATTTCATTCAAAGGAATTAGAGTTAATATTATGTATTTTTCAGCAAATTGATTCTGTGATGCCATTTGATGACCTACAAAAAAATGTGTCCCAGTGTTTCTTCAGTGTTGTATTTAGGGCCCTTTTACACACAAACTCTGCGGTATTCCTTTCCACCAGCTCTGCCCAGCACTAGCCTGGTTATTTCATTTCCATTTGTCAAATCACTATTCGGGGGTAGTTGGTCATGTCAGTGTGTTTAAGCCATGTCACATTATTTTGTTAGTCAGGTCCTATGTGTCCCAAGAGTCCTTGAAGAAACTCGCTGGTCTCTTTAGATCCTAGCAAGGAAAGACTAGAAATGCCTCCTTCTAATTTGGTGATTGTACTTCTTATAGAACAGACTGCTTTGGCAATAAGGTGCCAAATACTGCTACTCAGAGCTTATCTGATTTGCATGCAGCTAAACTACCTCTGTGTACTCAGCTGCATGTCTCTATAGAAAAACCACCTTACTACCTTTAGAACTTCACTGTCCATTGTCCTATTCTGGAATAGACAGTAGCTCTGACTATAAGTTAAAATGGGCTACATGAAACACTGTCGGGCTCTTGCATTTCTCTCATTTGGTCCTTCACTGACAAATTCACATAGTGCAAAGGTCATGGGCAAGCTATAACTCTTCTCTGGAGCGCCAAGCTGGCTGCCCCTAGGGAACTTACATTCCACTCTCCTAACTGGTCTGATTAAAGCACAGACCACTTGAGAGACAAGGAGGTTGGAAGAGTATCGATGCTCAGGTCTCCAATCACCCACATATTTGTATGAGAGCCTTGGACTCCTGGACCCAAAGCCACTGTAATTACTTTATAACTTAAAAATCATGGTTTTCAGTTTTAAAAATTCACGTAGAAATGGAAGTCACTGTGCTGGAAACGCGTCTTTCCTTTCTGAGTTCTGTAATGCTATGTTATCTTCATATGTTTACAACAGAAGGAAATGGTCCTCCTGGCTGCCAGTGAGTGAGGTAGCAGAGTAGAGCTGCTTTCTAAAATCAGAGCTAATATTCAGCACCAGCTTCTATGGTCTTGTGTTTTGATGTGCTGACTATTGGGCCCACAGAAATACACCTTCTGTTTATGCTTCCAAGTGTTCCTTTTATCTCTAGATAAAAGTGTACAGGGGAAGTTGCCAAAATTAGTCCACCTTTTGGGCCCAGGCCATAGTTAAACTTAGATCAGTTTACAGATCAAAGAGTTCCATTCTGATCCAAGTAGCTGCAGGCCAGCAGCATGGCTGGTGGCAGTATGAAGTGGCTGAACACCTTCTGATTTGGAATATCTGAGCAATACTTTCTGGGCTGCAAGGCACAAAAAGAGGCAGGATGCATGTCTGCTTTTGAAATGACTGTCTACCTTCCAGGATTTGACAGAGGAGCACTTGTTTAGACTTTGGTGTATAATCCAGTGGGAAGCTCCCAGATAGTCCTAAAGGCTGCCGCAGGGGGTCTCTATGAAGGCGGGTACTCTCCTCTCCTCAATACACACAGAGTTAATTTTGTTCACAGTCCTTCCATGCTTCCTTTAGGTAAAGCCAGACTGTCGAGGTTTCTTTGCCAGGTGGTAGCAACTCCCCACCCAACTTTCTTTTTCATTTTGCATTTCGGTTCTGATTTTTAGAGTCTTAGACTGCTATCCCTGGAGAGAGTAGGAGCAGATTTTTGGGCTCTGTGAATCAATAGTGTCACCAAATTATTTACTATCCAAACCAGCACACTTTTGTCAGTGAAAGAGGCACTGTTGGTAATTAAATCTGGACTAGAGTCAACTGAGACTCTCCTGGCAAACTGCGATGTATGGCCATCCTCTGCGTAGAGAATTGGGTGACTTCTGGCTCTAGAGACGCAAATCGAATGCTGCTTTTCCTGTGCATGATTGGGCATTTTTAGTCACTCCTCTAAATTATTATAGACTATCATTTTCTGCTCTTGATAGCAAATATAGCAATAAGAAAAAAAATTGGATAATAAATTTTCTTATGACTCAAAACACAGCCCCCTTGTTAAATAATATTGCTTCAGAATAGATTTTCTTGCAAAGAAAATGTTCTGTACAAATTCTTTAAAGAAATCTTTCAAGTGGATTTTTAAAAAATGATGCCACCACCCACTACTTACAAAGAAAGTCTTGAAAGGGAGCGGCAACTCCTCAGGCCATTTCTAGCAAAGAGATGTACAATCAGTACCAGCAACACAAAAATGCTCCTGTAACTGCACCCAAACTATTTTTTGTGCCTAACAAATTTTTGTCTTCAAGCTGCAGTTGTATGGCTGTGTTTCCTTTCTGTTTGTTTGACCACTTCCCCTCGAAATATTTTGCATCATCCTGGAGATTTTCCCAAGTTGTGGTCTGCTCGCTGGGGGGCCGAGCTCCTCTGATTTGCTGCATGAGGCTGTGTTGCCATGGCAGGAGTAGTTTACCATACATGAACACTTGACTGGATGGGCACCTCCCACAGCCATTCCAACCTCCTTTCCTCCTCTTCTCCACTCGCTTAGATATTCTGAGACAGCAGCCCAGATATGGCTTTCTCTAATCGTAAACTACATTCCCGGAGCGTGAACTTGACTTTGCTATGCTTTCGAGATAGGGAAATGTTTGGCTCTGTTTATTCCTCTTAAACTGGGCAGTGTCCTCTTGACTGTTATGACTAATCCACTTGTCATGGCTGGAATCTCCTAACAATTCTTTCCCTCAGGTAAATCACATCACTCAGACTTGTGAAGCAAAAATGCCACTGAGGCCAAAGGGTGACCTTTTGGTGGTCGCAGCCCATTCACCTGACAGGTCTCTGTTGCCCAGGAGGATTTTTTTTTTTTTCCAATAAAAGGAAAGCTTAGTCAGAACCTGACAAGTCTTGCTCCCTCACATTCCTGCAGAGGAACCAGCCTGGGGAGAGATAAGAGCCGTGGGTTGACACCCTGATTATGCTTACCTTTTTATTTGTTAAATGTGGAAATTGACTTCATCCAATTAATAAGAGCAGGAAACAGTTTTTGTTTTGTCTTTGTAGGAAAACATGAAGTAACGGTTTTATCTCAATTTGTCAGGCATTGCCCAAGAGACTACAGTCATGTGGGCCGGTGGCCAAAAAATTGCTCTAAGGCCCAAGTATTAACACCCAGATATAAAAAGAATGCTAATTGGTTTTCCAGCTGAAAAATAATAAGGGATTTGCTGCCAAAAATGCTGTATGGCCTGGAAACCCCAAGTTTATACAATAGGGCCTGATTGCAATCTGGGGGCTCCATTTGTCCTCCTATGAAGAGCTAAACAAAGGGAGGTGTTTCGCTCCTCTGCCTTTGTAGAAAGCTCCGCTCCAGATCTCAGCCTGGTGGAACACCAGGCTTCCCACAGTCTTCCTGCCAAATCCCCAAGCTTTTTCCTGGCTGCCTTTCAGGAAAGTACAGCTTCGTCTGTAGGATGGAAAGTTAAAAAGGCCTTGCTTGGATACGCTGAAATATATACAAACACTGCCTGACGTATGGAGTAGGCTGCTGCCGCTGGCATCCTAGCAGAAAGAATGTGAAACTTTTAAAAGTCATTTTGGGTAAGTGATTGAGATGTTAGCTGGAAGAAGAGACTTTTTTTGTTGTTGTTTATTTCTGAAAAAAGAAAATTCAGCATTCCCCTTGATCTTCAACAGTTATCTACCTTAGTTTTCTCATTGGTAAAATGTCAGCTAACCTCCAAGATCCCGTTCAGTTCAGGGGCTTGTCTCTAACTTGAGGACCAGGTGTAGCATATGTAGAAAATACTGGCTGTCTGCTGAATATCTTTGAAAAGGTCCCTGGAAGTGATTTGGGATGAAAGTCAAAGTCTGGAGCACTGGCATGGTAAATCCCAGGCTGGTACTCTGATGCATATTGCCGGGGTGCCATCCTGCCTGTGACTTCACACTACAACTCCAGGTCTATATCACTTATGGGAATGCACCTGAATTAAAATGATTGCATAATATTTACAACTCTGTTCTCTTTATTTCCAGTTGATGGTAAATATCATGGCAAAATGCATAGCATTTAATTAATCTTAACCATAATGTTTTTAAGTTGTAGTTTATACTAAAATACACTATCTTTTCACCAATCATGGTCGTAGACTATTATCCTAGTCATGTATGTAATGATGCAACTAAGGTAAAGAGTTTTTTTTTTTTTTTTTAAAGAATTACTTTGAAAAATGAAGTAAGACGTATTCTCAACAACCAACTTCTGCCAAAATATGCAAAGAATAAAACAGGCCATAAGAATCCATTGATGTGTACAAAATTATTTTTTGACAGAAACAGGCAAGTAACTATGTTTGTTGCTATCAATGCTTTTCTCTTGTTTATTACTTTCTGTTATTATTAATGTGTTTGCCCTTAAAGTAGTGACGCAACATGGAATGTACATAAGAGTTTAGGGGTGGGGAGCAGTGGCTCACACCTGTAATTCTAGCACTTTGGGAGGCCAAGGTGGGCAGATCACCTGAGGTCAGGAGTTCGAGACCAGCCTGGAAAACATGGTGAAACACTGTTTCTACTGAAAATACAAAAATTTTGTATGGTGTTGGGTGCCTGTAATCCCAGCTACTCAGGAGGCTGAGGCAGGAGAATCGCTTGAACCCGGGAGGCAGAGGCTGCAGTGAGCCGAGATCGCACCACTGCACTCCAATCTGGGTGACAAGAGCACACCTCTGTCTCAAATAAAAATAAAAAATATAAAAGAGTTTAGGAAGCATTTCTTAAAACCTGCTGGGCCTCAAGACTTTTTACCTTTAGGAGACACTAAGAAGTAGAAGGAGCATGGAGCTAGTGTTGCTGACCTTTCATTAGGTTCACTCCACCAGGTTAAAATTAATTTTCTGGCATCCCACATCCTTCCGTGTAGACTCCAGTCTCCTTGGGCACACTCCTGCCTCTGTGATTTTCTACTTACTCTTTCCTTCACCTGGAGTGAGGGAGCTCTCTTCTCTCCATCTTTTGGGATTCAGTTCAGTCCCCACATGATTTGTGAAGCCTCCTCAGACCACTCCAGTGCCCTTTGTTTCCCACTTCTCTGAACTCTCATTGCTCTTATCATTTTCAGAAACAAGGTAAACACATGGAAGATTCAAGTGAGAATTGAACTGGAACCCAGAAGGTAAAGATGATACCCTTTTTTCTTGCAAAGGGCAGAGACCCACTCAATTGTCTCAAACCAAGGAGAAGTTATTGTAAACCTACAAAGTCCAAGAAACGGGCCTTTCATAATGTAAACTGGAAACCTCTTGGAAGCCTAGGCAGCTCTCTCTGACTCTCAGGATCACACAGTACCCCTCCGACTCTTTCTTAGGCATGTCTACTTTCATTTTCTTCCCTTTTCTCTCTTCCAAATTTTTAATTTCTTCCAATTTCTTTGTCATTTCTGGTTTTATGCTTCAGCTCAACTTCCCCCAAATATCTGAATTAGACTTAGGATCTTTGTTCCAAATTTAAAGGGATTGGATCATCTTGTCTTGTGCTGTGTATCCAGCCTTCTGTTCAATCAGTGTTGTTGGCAGGGCAGGGCAGTGTGGTACAAACAGCTGCCTAAACCACTCCTACTGCAGCCTGTAGATGGAGGAGTAGACAGCTACTCCAGAAGATATCCACAGCCTACAGAGTTGTATTAATTCACTTTAGGCAAATTTCTTAAGGGCAAGGAATAGATTTCTGTTTGCTTACTCCTTTCACTGTGTTTGGCACAGGCCTGTTCAACTGTCCCAGTGATTCTCAACCGTGGTTGCACATTAGAATCAATTTTAGGTGCATTTCGGTGTCTACTCCTCTCGTCACCACCAAAAGGAGTGCTGATTTCATTGTTCTGGGGGTATGGCCCAGACATCAAACATCAAGAGCTGGGCTTTTCAGATAGCAGCCTTGTTCCTACTGAGGACAGGGCTACAGAAAGCGTTACTGCTGTGAGTGGAGAAGTGACTACCTTTGTAGCGGGGAACATGGTAGAAATTGAAGAGCTGTTAAAGAGGTTAAAATTCTTGCTTGGCCTTTGTAGTAGGGTAACTATATATTACATTCATGCTGTTTTAGATAGATTGGATACCAGTAATATTGGCAACTTTAGAAAGAGATATTAAAATTTTTAACTTTTGCATTTTTTGCTTTTCTCCATATCCATAACTGGTTCAAATGTGATAGTCAATGAATATTTCCCAAAGGCTTTTCCTTTATCACATAATCAATGAATACATCTTCAAAATGAAGAACTGTTCCTATATTCTTTGAAAATGTTGTTTCATAGGACTAGGAACATTTAAGACTTAACAATAAAGATGACAACACAGAGTGCTAATTGGATGCTAATTGTTTTAGTTTTTCCAGTGGTAACTCTAAAATCAGCATTTGATAAATTTGAACTGTGTCGTTTGCCTCCAGAATTGCAAGGAGTTGATTTACTGCAGGCACTACATACAGACACTCCTTCAGTGTATCCTTCACAAGGTCCTGGTGGTTGCCAAGGTTTGCCTTAGGTGTTAAAACCAACAGATGTGATTCACCGGTTGGAGAGTTTCTTAAAGTGATTTCTGGAGTTTTTGAATATGGTCAGTGAAACCAAGGAGTTTCTATTGAGTTGGCTCAATTTTTGATTCTTGAAAGAAAAGCACTACCTTCTCTGACAAGTGCTTCTGCAGCCACCTTGGGACATTTGTTAACAACCTCTGCAAGTCAGTTCATCCCTTATGATCACTTTGGTCACGATTTTGGTACAGAATGTGAATCATGGACTTTTACATTCCCTACCCGAGTTTCTCTCTCTGAGGAGGACCTAGTTTGCCAAATTACTTGCAATTACTCCTATGGAAGGCCTGGTAGCAGTAACTTCTTTGACAAAGGGCCTTGAGAGAGAATACCATGGAAGATATCGTCATAGATTTTCGATACAGCATACCCAGACTCAGTTTCCTTCTGGTGTTACAGCACAGACTAGTTGCAATACTAGTACCTTGTTATCACAGAGCATCTTGTCCTGGACTGTTTGACTATGAGGATCTCTTAAATTTACCACCATGTGTCCAACCAACACTGAATGGTCAACAGTATAAATTGTAATGCTAATTCTTAAGGATCCTTTGGGGATGGTGTCAATGGCTTATCTTTTCTGTAGCATAATATTGGCTTTGTTTGGGCAGAAGAAGTAGAGATACCACCGCTGCAAGCTGACCAGGGGTTGGTGTATTTGCACTGACTGGAAGGTGCTCTGGAGTATGCAATCCTGTGCAGGAGATCCTGGTGACCATCTTGGCAAGAAAGCTGTACTTGTTGGATGGGCACAACAGTTAAACAAGAGGATGGCTCCTTACTTGCTATGACCTCTGCAATCTTGCCCCATTTGGCAAAATTGATTATGGGAACTTTGCATATGTCAGATTTGATCCAAAATGAAATGACTAAAAGAAGATTCATTGGCGATTTCATTGTGAAATCTGCTATAACATTATTCTGCTGCACATTATCAAAGAAGTGCCTTGTGTAGTAAAGTACAGAGATGGCACAACTTAGCATTATGTACATTTTGCTAGTTCTGTGTTGAAAATCTAAATCTGAAAAATTTGACCATTATTTATGAGAAGTCTATTTCTATTATCCCACAAAACTGTCAGGTGTGTTCATGAAGCAGCAACACAATAGCTGAATTAAAAATCTATTGTGGGATCTCCAAACGTTCAGAAGCATAGCAAACTTTTTCTTTTACAGACTTTTGATTTTGTTGCCATGAGGCAACACGTAATCTCATTATCATGTAAATCCTAGGGAGCAAACTTCCTGGCAGAAATCTTTCAGTGTGCCCCAAAATAGCACTTTAAATGTAGGGTCTACTTGGGTATTGGGGTGGAGGTTTCTTTCTAGAATTTCTTATTGTTATCCAGCTTAATTTTGAAGAGGAGCTCCTCATCATTTCCTTTCTCCCTCACTCCATTCCCCTCTCTCTTTTGTTCTCTCCTTCAACAAATGTTGAGTTATCTCAAAACTGTATGATGAGCTTCTAGTGAAGATACAAGTATTAAATATGACCTTTACCCTCACAAAACTTTCTTCTTGTGGGGAGAGAGTATAGAAGAAACATATTGCAACCATGCTGGATGGCAGGAATTATATTTGGAGTGTTGTGGAAAACACAACTGGTCACCTAATCAATCCTGGATGGAGTGGGACAGCTGAATGAGAAGGTGTAGTGTTAGGGATGGTATCTGGAAGAGATGATCCTGGGTGTTGTTGGGAAGATGGAAGAGAGCCTGTTTAAAGATGTGGGGGTGGAAAATGAAGGTAGACAAATGCATAAAGTCAAGGGATTAAGCGGCATCAAGGGAGTGGCAAATAGTTCTGTGTTACTGAAAAGTAAATTAGATGGGTTGGGGAGGTTGGAGTACAAGAAGTGACTAATGAGGTAGGCAGAATAAGTCAGGAATAATGTTGTATTTGTTTATGTTAAAGATTTTGGAATTTTGCTGAAGAAGTATGAAGACATTAAAGAATTTTAATGATCAAATTTTCCTGTTACCCAGATCATTCTAGTGATGTGTAGAGTATAGACTGGATGGCAAGTCTGGAGGGATAAAACCTATTAGAAGGCTATGGCAATCGTCCAAGGGAGTAATGATGAGGGTCTGATCTAAGGCAATGACAGTGTGATGGAGATGAGAGGATGGGCTAGAGAGAATTTGAAAGGATGTAATTGACAGGACTTGTGCTCATATAGATTTGGTGAAAAAGAAAGTACAAACATGCCTTTGTTGATGAGGTCTTTATTGCTGTAAAGACCATCTATTCCAACCATGTCTAAAGTCCCTGGAGATCCAACCAGAGGAATTCGAACTGAACAACGGCAAAACCTCGTTACTCCACAGAACACATATCAAACACTCTGTGCTGTGTCACATGCTTGCGAAGGTCCATATTTTAGATTCTCCAAATTTTTTAACTTTTCTCAGGGAATACCCTCTCTAAACAACTATTGGAGATACAACAATTAATTTTTCTAGCATAGAGCCCCAGGATTAGCCTCCATATACTTTTCTTTCTATAGTTAATTTGTTCTTTTTCCAACTCTATCATAAGCTTTAAATCCATGTCTTTTTAATAATTATTTCTACAACAAACACTCTTATCTAAAAAGTCATGGCAGCCGTTATAATTTGACCTACTCATAAAACTGTTTCTTTTCAGCTGTTTTTGCTCTTCAATCAGTTAAAACTAATATTAATATATTAGTTTAGTTTCTACATTGTTGCATTACTGCTAGTGATTGTTTTTACATTCTGCAAGCACAGATGTCCACATGTAGTGGAGAAGGCTGCCCCTGAACTGTAGCTATTCTTTCGTGGAGTATTGAAGGGTTTCCATACTCAGAGTGGGCAGTTAAGGGGAGCAAGCAGGGAAGCCAGACAGGAAAATTGTGATTGGCCAAAGGAATGTCTGTGGAGCAGTAAAGTCAGTTGCAAGTCTTACCTTTTGTACATTAAATGGTGACAGTGACTTTTTACTCTCACTCTAAAATCCACATTGTAGATGTCTAAAGAAATGGAATCATCAGCCTGAGGACTATGACGTCTTGCTCATTTACTGATAAGTCAGATTTCGTACAACTTCAGTCTACACCTGAACATGGGTGTAAGACAAGAAAGAGTGCTACACACCAGAATGGCTAGTGGGAAGCTCAGAGGCTGGGTCTAGGCCCTTATTCTAAAATTCACTGCCTAGCTCATTTATCTATTTTTCAACCCCCAAAAAGGATTAGAAGTGAATTAGAGGTAGGCTTTCTGGCAGCAACAGACAGATTTGAGAACTGACAACTTAATAGCAAGGGAAAAACATTAAAATGGAAAGAGAGCATGGAATTGTGCTCTGCATTAGAGCATAATGGAAGACAAGATAGGTCAAGTTATGCACCACTGTTATCAAGGAAGATTAAATTATAACGTGTGTGTGTATGTGTGTTTTTAAACACAGTTATCTGTGTTCCCCCAATCCCCAGGAAAATTGCCACCAAAATTTGTCAAATAGAGCTGAGGAATTTAAAGGTTTTCATTACTTGGAAAACTAGTAACTTAAGAAATGCTTTCTTCTCTTATAGTTTCTGACACTGTCTTGCAGATAAGTCACACACACACAGACACACACACAGACACACACACACACCTGAGTGTCTCTGTTGTATAAGTACTCTTAGAACTGCTCCTCCCACCCTCTAGTTACCACCTGACTCCCTCTCTCATTTGCTATCCTCATCCTTTTTTCTCCTTTCCTTTCTGTACACATTAGCACTCTGCCTTTCCTTAACTGTTGTGTTGTAGTTGAGAACCGAATCATTTTCCAAATAGCCAAAAATGGTAAAGAAAATAATATTGTTCTTCCCATTTAACCCTTTTCCCATTTAGAAAAAATGTGCAGCTCTCTGCCAGCACTCATTTAATTTTACCTAAACATGATCTTTGAGGCTGAAGGAAATCTGACTGATTTTCAATGTAAAAATAAAATATAAAAACTATCCTTGGGATTATTTCAAAACAGAACTAACATCAGAATTGTCTGGATCATCAAAATTGTCTATTTCAGAAAAATCAGATTCATCAAATGAATCTTCGGCCAACAACTGTTCGAGAACAATGTTAACATCATGCACAAGGATGCTATGTTGTCTAGGAGTTGACATTTTCGGCAATCAAGAATTACTATATTTTGTAAATGAGAATACCGCTATAGGATACTATAAACAGAATGATGCCTTTTGTTTCCAAAGTCGATATACGAGAGTGATGTGAAAGTAATAATAAAAGCAAGATATTTTGTGGCAAAGTTATCTCTAGGTAAATGCTATGTTTGCAAGTGCTGCCAGCAAGTATCCTTAGGGCAAAAAAAATGAGTTTTCAATGCTTTTCAGTATTTAATTGGCATGCAGTGAAGACAGTCAGCCCTCTGTATCCGAAGATCTTTGACCTGTAGATTCAACCAATTGTGGATCAAAAATATTTGGAAAAAAGAATTTCTGGAAAGTTCCAAAAAGCAAAGGAGAAATTCTTCCAAATATTTACAACTTTTGCATAGAAGATTATATACTGAGAGAAAGTCAGGAGACCTAAATTTAAAATGTTATAATAATCAGTAATAACTTGGTAAACTATATCAGAATGGATAAAGCTTCATTTAGTATTCATCTATATTAAAAGACATCCCTCCCAAATTCTCATAAATCATATCAACCCACTTCTGTAGTCATTATTTCTACTACAACTATGATGGCTAAATTTTACGTTAAAAGTAATATATCAGTTTAGTCAGAATTCATAATTCTGTAGAAACAAATGCTTTGACTTAAAGTTTCAAATATATTCTTAAAAATGACTTCATTGTCATGCAAGGGATTTTTGTATGTGTAACTCTGGTGTTGGAGATGACTGAAGCCAAAGGGATCACGATTAATTTATATGAGTATCACACTTTTATTGGGTTGAGTTTCCACTTAAAAGACTGGTCTGGCTGGGTGTGGTGGCTCATACCTGTAATCCCAGCACTTTGGGAGGCCGAGGTGGGTGGATCACAAGGTCAGGAGATCGAGACTATCCTGGCTAACACGGTGAAACCCCATCTCTACTAAAAAAAAAAAAAAAAAAAAAATTAGCCAGATGTGGTGGCAGGCACTTGTAGTCCTGGCTACTAGGGAGGCTGAGGCAGGAGAATGGTGTGAACCTGGAAGGCGGAGCTTGCAGTGAGCCAAGATGGCACCACTGCACTCCAGCCTGGGTGACAGAGCAAGACTCCGTCTAAAAAAAAAAAAAAAACAAAAAAAAAACAAAAAAACTGGTCCACTGACCAAGGCTGACCTGGCTACATGCCCGATTATGTAGGCTGAGTGCCCAATTTGCCAGCAGCAGAGACTGACACTGAGCCCTCAATATGGCACCATTCCTCAGGGTGATCAGCAAGCTACCTGGTGGCAAGTTCATTACATTGAACTTCTTCCATCATGGAAAGGACAGACTTTTGTCCTCACTGGAATAAACACTTACTCCGGATATAGATTTGCCTATCCTTCACGCAATGCTTCTGCCAAGACTACGCATCCGTGGACTCACAGAATGCTTCATCCACCATCATGGTATTCCACACAGTATTGCCTCTGACCAAGGCACTCACTGTATAGCTAGAGAAGTGTGGCAGTGGGCTCACGCTTATGGAATTCACTGGTCTTACCATGTTCCCCATCATCCTGAAGCAGTTGGATTGATAGAATGGCAGAATGGCCTTTTGAAGTCACAGTTACAATGCCAGCCAGGTGACAATACTTTGCAGGCTTGGGGCAAAGTTCTCTAGAAAGCTGTGTATGCTCTGAATCAACCTCCAATATATGGTACTGTTTTTCTCACAACCAGGATTCATGGGTCAAGGAATCAAGGGATAGAAGTGGAAGATCACCCCTACTGATCCACTAGCAAAATTTTTGCTTCCTGTTCCTGCAACATTACATTCTGCTGGCCTAGAGGTCTTAGCTCCAGAGGGAGGAATGCTGCCACCAGGAGACACAACAACAACTCCATTAAACTGGAAGTTAAGATTGCCACCTGGATACTTTGGGCTCCTCCCACCTTTAAGTCAACAGGCTAAGAAGGAAGTTACAGTGTATTTTGGAAATCAGAGAATATTTTGGAAAATAATCAATGGTATTGGTGATTGAGGTGGGTATGGAGATAAGGAAAATGGAGGAATCAAAGATAGCTCCAAAATTCCAAGCCAGAGAGGGAACTTAGAAAAATGCAAGTATTATTTAGCAAAATGGAGACATAAAACAAGGCAACCTTTATTATCTCTGTTTTATATATAATTAAAGTAAGGGAGGTAAAGGAAATCTGATATTTCCAAGTATTCTCAATAAAAATGGATTATACAAGAACAAACAGGAAAAAAAAAAAAAAAAAAAAAGACTGGGAGAAATGTCTTCATTAGTAGGTTCAGGAAGCTGCCATCAGCTTCCACATTTGGAGGTTGTACCAAATGTATGAAACTATTGGAAAGAAGCCGTGTAAGAGAAAACTGTGGTTAGTCACTAGTTATTCTCAGGTGACGTGCTCAATGCCTTCTGAAAGCTGTATCCGGTGTTTTTCTAACCCTAACCTAGGGTTTCTCAACCTCAGCACTATTGATATGTTGGGCTGAAAACCTCTATGTATTGTCGGGAGACTGCCTTGTGCATTCTATGATGTTTAGCGTTATAATATCCTTGGCCTCTACTCATAGATGTCAGCAGTAACTCTGAGTGTTAACAACCAATAGTGTCTCAAGACATTGCCACATGTGCCTGGTGGTGAGCAGGGGTGGTGGTAAAGAGGGAATGGATAAATTAACCCCACTTGAAAAATCAGTGCCCTAATTATAACTCCAATCCATTGAATTAACATGCTATCATTGTTCTTGAGACATAATATCCCAGAAAAGTTTCTGCTATCCACTGAGATAACAAAAATGGGCATTGTTCTCCAACCCATTCTCTGAGTCATTCTACCTGACTGTAACTCCATTATCTGTAAAATATCCTGGTTGCATTGGGCCCAAGGTATTAGTTAAGCATTTTATGTCCCCTCCCAGAATTCACACTTCTCTTGTCTAATTTTCTTGTCTCTTTGTTGGTCTTAAGCCTTGTCATAGTCTGCACCTAGTTAGTGTGCACTTATGTATGTAGTGTGACCATGCAGCCCGATTTGTTCATATCGGTCCTGGAGTATGCCTGTTAGCTAGGCTAGTAACTAATAATGGTACCCATTGTTAGCCTTAAATGTGTTCTGGTTTGGATAATAAATCATGGTCATCCTTTTATGCCACTCTGGAAATAAAAAGGATGTGTTCAACTTTGATGAAAAAGATGGTGAAATTAAGATTCAATTGAAAATGAAATATATAAGAATATGTATTTACCTCTTTCCTCCCCCATTTCCCCATTCCATTAACCTGAAGAACAAACCCCTTAGGAGTGAAGGGTGCTTAAGAGTAGACCAGAAGTTTGAATTTGTTCCCAGAAGGCTGAAGCAGCTGAATGCTTTTTGGTAGATGATCTGGAATGGTGCTGGCAACAGTCCATAACTTGCAGTAGAGAAGGTTGCCTCAGGACTGTTGCCCTTCTTTCTGACAGATCTTTGTAGAGTTTTTATATCTTTTTGGCAGCAGGTCTGCCGGTCAGAATTGGGAAGAGGATAATTAATTGAAGAACTATCTACGTAACAGCTAATTGAATTAAGTCTTGCCAAATGTGTAATTAATGTTAGCTTTTAACTCACTTCAACCGGTCCCTATCTAAATCAGAAGATTTATCCCTACAGAAATCCAGCGATCTTCTCAAGGAGTACTATAGCTTCTAATATAGGCCTTGGCATTCCAGAACAAAAATGCGAGATGAATGGGAAGCCAGTTTGTATCACTTTCTTCTCTATTCCTTCCTAAAGTGAAGACTGCCACATCCCATTGAGAGACAAAACTTCAGAAGAAACGCATGCCAGCTACATAATCCTTTACCAACCAATATGAATGGCTAAGCAAGGACCACTACTCATTAAAGGAAGTAAATAATGGAAATAGGATGATCAAAGTGAACAAGCAGAATAAATGGCTTGAAAGGAAACAGTATACATAAGGGAAATTTTAAAAAAAGGTTATTGGTGTCTTCAAAAAATTCTAACTAGATGATGCATCCTGAAGGTATATAAGCTTAGACTGCTGTAGAAAATGAGTACTTAGAGAACAAGCAAGAGTTCCTGGAAATAAAGAAATAGTTGCCCAAATTTAAAAAATTAAGTGAAGGGAAGAGATAATAGAAGAAAAGAAATAATAGAAAGTAAAGACAATTAACTATCTCAGAATATACAGCAAAAAAGATTTAAAAGTTAAATATAAATAATCAATTCAGGACAGTGACCATCTATCCATTAGAAATTGAACAAGAGAATTCTGGGAAGATGGCAGAGTAGGAGGCACCAGAAATCTGTCTTTCCACCTAGACAACAATTAAATAGGCAAATTCTGTCTAACGTAACTCTTTTGGAACTATGGAGTCTATTAAAGGCTTGCAACTTTCAGGGAAGGCATGAACAGTGAATTGTGGTTAATTTCAGTCATTTTCAGCCCTTAACACAGTAGCAGCTACCAATCCCCCACATCTCCAACCCCATGACAAGCAACTATGCTTGTGTTTCTAGAGCAAACTGCACACAGCATGCAGGAGCCAGGGTTAGCAAAAAAGACTCTGCCCTCCAAATATTGGGGATATATGCTCTGATTGCTGCTGCTAATCACAGAGGTGCAAAGAGGCAGGCAGCCACCATTGCTGCACCTCCCTGCATTATTGCAAACCCCTCCCCTTCAAGCTGAAATGACTTCTAGGGGATTTCATCACCTGGAGCTCTTTCTTCTACTCCATTTTTCTCTTTTTCCCATTTTTGGAGTCAAACGTTAAAGACTGGGGCATTCAAAAACAATTGCATATATAGATATATAGGGACAATTAGAAAGTGACTGTTCGTGCCCAGAACAGGGACAAAGGCAGTCTACAACAAGAATATATGTATGTGTGTGTGTGTGTGTGTACAGGTGCATATATACATATATATGTGTGTGTATATATACGTGTGTGTGTGTATATATGTATATATCATCGTGATTGCTATCTTACCTCTCCCTAGTTTCTGTTTTCCTGCACATAAATTTCTTCCTTGCTATGTAAACCCTTAATTTTAGTCAGCCAAGGAGATGGATTTGAGACTGATCTTCAGTATGAATTTGTTCTCATGCTGCTAATAGAGACATACCCAAGA